TAAGTATTCCAAACGTAAAGCTACAGGAATCTTTCTATTTTCAATTTAGCCTGCAAAATTGTCGCATTAGAGCTAATTTTAAACAAATCTTGTAGACTTATTTATTTTATGTATGTACTAGGGCATTCAATCCCGAAGCATTTTAACAATTCCGGGATTTCGGAATGCAAAAAATTCTAATCTAATTTTTCGGGATTTCGACTTCATTACATTTTTTGCATTTAACACACGGTGGGCAGGAAGCAAAGATAGGTTGCATAAAAATGTCGACAAAAACTGAAAGCAGGGTTGTATTTGTTGATATTTTTAGGTTAAGAATCCCTTTGAATTGAAATCCTAGCTGCTCCTGTTTTAAAGATATCCACATTTTACATAGTTATGCTAGGACCGACTTTTGCGAAAGAGAAAAACATCCTTGTGAATTAAATATTCAACAATGTATGTGTGAGTAAATGTGTGTATATATATTATGTGAAAATATAAGTTTATGTAAGTTTTTAGCCGGTTTCAATCGTTTCCAAGGCGCACCACGTAGAGGCAACTTACTTTGCACCTCTTTGTTCTTTTTTTGGTTTTTTTGGTTTTATTTTTTTATATTTTTTTCTTGCTTTATTTTTTTATATCGCTAGCTTAGAGTGAAAAGTTGCTAAGTCCACTTTTTATGAAAACTCATATTTTGATATAGGAGGCTAAAGAAATTGAATACGCATCGTTTCGAAAATTATAAAGGTATTTGTTTTATTTTTTCCTCTTCATAAGCAATAAAAGGAAAATTTGCTAAGTCCAAAAGAAGCACCACAAATCCGATAAGGCCAAAATAATACGACATCTTTTAATAAATATCGAATCCTTCTGATTCTTATGGAGTTTTGCTTTGCTTTAAACGCGCAAAATGTTTGATTCAAAGTCTTGTGAAATAGTTAAAGAAAATGGCTATAGGAAGATTTTTTCCTCTCCTGTAAAATTTTTAAAATGGGACTTAGCAACTTTTCTTTCTAAGCTAGCGATATTTTTTTGTTTCCTTTTATTTTTTTTGTTGGCTTACCATATAATATAGTCACGCATTTAAGTATTTAAATATTTTATTATTTAGTTAAGTTTTTAGATATGCTGGAATGAAAATGTCATTACAGTTTTCTTCAGGCGACTCACAAAAGTTGGTTTATCAATCATATTTATTTTGAATCTTTCCCAGAATTTAATGAATTCCCTACGAACTGACTTCCCGGCCTGCTCGGACCATAATCCTAAACCATCGTTATTCAATAATGAAATAGATTGCTTTAAATGTTTAAGGATAAAATGGATTTTGACAGTTTGAGAAATTCCAGTACTTTTCAAAGCTGTGCGGAGTTCGTTAAGATTTTTATCAAAATTACTAAGATCCGCTTGTTTTGCGGAAAACCATGTATTCACGATTTTGCTCATGGCTTTGAACGAGGCAATATATTTGGTATTGTTTTTACTGAGAGTTTCTTCCATACAAACTATGTTCGACATTTTTTTGTATGTGGAAGACACTGTCAGCAAAAAATAAATAATTGCAAAAAATCAACGAAATTTTCTGGTAACTTCAGACTTGCACTTTACTAATTGGCTCAAAAGCTACATTTTAAACATTTTTCTAAAAGATCTGATTAGAAATTGTGATCAGATGAAAGTGTCTCCGAGCCAATAATTTTGTACGGCACGGTACTTATAAGTAATCTAGGTTTCACGAAAAAAAAAAAAAAAAATACAAGGTGACATTAAAATATCAGTCATTTGTTTCGTTGCTGTGAGCTTGTTTCAAAACTTCTGGCTTTTGCTATAATTGTAAAACTCTGTGCATGTCATTTTAACGTATTTAGGTACATACCCCCCAGTAAATTCCCCCAGTAAATTCATAAAATTTTTCTTAATATTACAACGCCTTTTTCTCTCAGCGTAGTCATTTTTAAGCAAAATTTGTGCAATCAAATCGAAAACCGGGACACTTAAATGAAACCCGGGACATTTTAAGGTTGGACCGGGACACCGGGACAAATAGTCTAAAACCGGGACATATCCGGGAAAACCGGGACGTCTGGCAGCCCTACACACAAAGCGCATACTTTCATGCGATTTTCTTTATGATCGCATTTGTGTTCTGGATGTACAATAGTCATTATTTCCTGACAGAAGAGTACATAAATACCAAAATAAATCTCATACAAGCTTTGAATTTATTTACTTATTATGCGGAGTACCGTTGGCCTAAGTTAGAGCATTTTTATTTCTTGCCCGAGCGCAGTGCGACTTGCCTGCGCTACTTGCTTATAGCAACAAACCTTTAATAAAAAATTACTACCGTATTATATAGCATACAATATTGTATACATACATACATATATTGCGATATTGAAAGTGTTTGTAATGAGAAAGTTCACGCTACAGAAAAAGGTAATTGTGGTGTTTTATCTAAGTTGTATACCGGTAGCGCCCAATAAATCTCGATCAATTATTCTTTCGGTAGGGAAAAATGAAAATGTTTCACATTGATTTGATCCGTTTTAGTCAGTTAAAAAAGGGGAACAGATTTGTATGAGATTTCTTTTCGTATAAATATGCTCTAATTATCGAGAAGTACGCCTTCCAAATATATCCTATCAGAAGTATATAAAATGTGGATATCTTTAAAACAGGAGCAGCTAGGATTTCAATTTAAGCGGATTCTTAACCTTAAGATATCAACAAATACAACCCAGCTTTCAGATTTTGTCGACATTTTTATGCAACCTATCTTCGCTTCCTGCCCACCGTGAACAGTAGGTTCGCCTTTTTTAAAGGGAGCATAATACACCTCAGTAAAAGAGTCCGTAATTTAATGTCTAATTACACATTTTTATAGTATTTTAAAATATCTATATTAATTGTAAAAACCCCTTACTAATATCTCCAGAAATTCATTTTCTACAAAACGCCAACAAAATAAAATGAGGAACAACCCTTCCACACTGTAAAATCTTGTGTTTTCAATTGCTACCAGCGGAGCTGTAATTCCGGGATTTCGGGACATGGAAAAGTGTCCGGGATCCGAAATCCCGGGATTCTGGATCCCGGGATTGAATGCCCTAGTATGTACGTACACAGGCTATAAATATAATTGTAAGAGCAAATTCAAAGTGTCAGCATGACTAGACTGCCTAGTACTGTGTACTGAAATCTAGTCATACAGCCATTAGCAGTATTCAAAATCTTAATATGTACATACATACATACATATGTATGTGCATGTATGATTCATAGAACATTTGAGAGAAAATATAAACATTTTGAAAAATTTTCTATCACCATTTAAAATTATTTCCATTTCTTATTTTCTTATTTCATTAAACGAGCAATTCTTGTATATGAATATATACATGCATATATATATCCATAGGATTCTCGGATAGGGCTCTAACGATTTTGATGATATTTTGTACGCAGATAATGTTTTGCATTTTAAGGTTATCTAAATAGGTACTATCTCCGCGAGGACTCGTATAAGATCGCCAGCTATTCGAAATTAGTTACAAATTAATTGAAACATCCATCATAATATGAGTATCAAATGGAGATTATTTTGAAAATCCCTAAATCAAAAATCAACTGTCATTTTTAGCGACTTGAAACTTGCACTTTACAAAACTTTTCCAAGAAATCAAGTTGAAAAATTTGAAATTTTGATGGAAATATTTCGGTATTTCTTGAATTTTCCCGAGTTCTGTATGAAATTAAAAAAAACTTGTTTCTTGTGATTTTTGCTGTTCAATGAATTATGTTTTTATAAAAAATAAGAAAAATTTGTAATGGAAAATATAAATAAATAAAATCGTCAAAACATCGGGGTTTTCATATTCTTGACGCTGAATGTATTTTGTTTATAGTTATGATGGCACACATTTTTAGGCTTATTTTTTGCATAGAAATCCGATCTATAATCATAACATAAACAATACATTCAATAAGTACTTCTGATTATATTTTACTGCAGATCCATGATGGTTCGATGCTCATGATACACCACACAGTGACACTTCCGAAATAAGGTTAGGACGGCTACTTATCCATACAAGCTTCTTCGACGTCCCCAGTGTACATTAGGGTGTATCACCAAAAATGTTGCGGTTTTTTCTATTTCGGAAGAATATTAAGATTTACGTTAGCTAGAGCGATAATAATAATAAGCTCGGAGCGCGGAGGTTGAAGTTAAAAAATGTATTGCGAACAGAGTTTTAAATGGCCCATTCTAAAATTTATACAGTCGTGACCCAATAGTCTGATGTACATTTTTCAATAAAAATAACTGAATAAAAGTAGTTCCAATTTAAAAAAAAATCATTTGTTTATAAAAATGTACCTTTTGTTTATAAAAAATAGGTCGAAAAAAATCAACGTATTTCTCATTGGAAAGCTAAGAAAAAAGCGTAAACTTTAGGTCGGCTAGTTATTTTTATAATGAAATGGATAGAAGTATTTCATTCGAGCATGAAATTTTTGAAAATTCATAACTCCAAAATTGTTTATATTGGGTCGAAATAAAAAAATACGTGGCTAATATTTTGCCTCAAAGAACACAAAAAAAAATGTTTCGCACGAAAAAGTTTTTTAATGTAAATTTTGCATGGAATGACCCTTAAATTTCCGATGGAAAACATGTATGTATGTCTCAGCCTCTGAAGAAATTTTTTGCCCTAAAGTTAAGTACAATTTGATGTTTGTCTAGCGAAATGTATGTATATTTCCACTGTCGCATAGTGTAATTTAGATATTAGACTTATTTTGGAACGAATCTCTGTCATTCTTTGTTAATTTTGGTTTGAAGACAACAACCAGCAAAAAGAAAGTACTTATTCGACTTTTCTAAATAAATTTTGCATTGCTAAGTATTATTATGTAATTATATACATACGATGCTACGATTTCTTATTTATCTCTAAATATGTATGCGGAATTTGATATTTAAATTGAATTATGCGTTTTCGTTACTTTTTCAGAAAATGTTCGCATTGTGGTATTTGTCTTTTGCAATCGATGAAATACGGTAAGTCTATATTAGTTAAAATTAGACTTAATTATAGTGTAAAAGTACGAGGGCAGTTTGATAAGTTAGGAACTTTTGGATTTTACCGCGTAAGAACCATAAATGCAACACTATTCTGACAAAATTAAAATATTTAAATTTTAACGGTCGGACGGATATGAAAATTTTTCTAAGAGCTTTGCGATGTTGGTTATAAATTATAGCATACTTTTAGGCTTGCGCAGTTTAATGAGTCACACACACATAAAGCATTATGCTTGTTTAGCGGAACAAAAAGCAAAACCAGTGATATTTTATATTTGGTAATTCATTGAAAGCGGCGGAAATTCAACGGTACGAACGGTAATAGAAAAACATCCTAATGTAACTTTTGAAAAAAAGATGTTCATTTAGTATGGAGCAACAAAATTTTGCCAATTTTTAATATACATACATACATACATAACATTATTAAAAAAAAAAAATCCCACAAACAACGATAGTCGTCATAATTTCTTTATAATTAAGCTTCATTCAATTTTATTTATACATTATCACATACATACATACATATGTGTGTGTATAAATACATACATACATATGTATGAAGCAATTATTTGGGGAATCATCAACGCATTATGTAATTCTATTCCCAATGAGTTGATGAATACATATCTACGAGACGTATAAAATAAAATAAACAAATAAATTATTGAGTAAAAATTAATGCAAACGTTAGCACATTCTTGTTTACAAGGTTAACGTATGTACATATGAATACACCATATACACCTTGTGCCAAAATTATAACCGCACCACAAATTACACGTTTTAATATTTGATTTTTTGTTAGATATTTAATTTTAATTATTTTTTATATAAATATAAAAAATTTATTCGCAAGCAAGAATATAATATTAAAATTTAATGGGGTACAAAAAAAAAGTTTGAACAAAATCTATTTTTATATGGAGGCAAGTGCAACAAAAAAAAAATTCAAAAATTAATGAACTTGAAACTTGCACCTTAATATACTAAAATTGAATGGGCGGATTGAAAAGTTTAAAATTTTGATGAAAACTTTTTGGTATATCTTGAATTTTCCCGAGTTCTATATAAAATCGAAGAAATTAATTATGCAGATTTTTGCTGTTGAATGAACTATATTTAAAAAATAAAATAAAATAAAACAAATCGCCAAAACGTCAGAGGTATTCATATTAAATACGCAGCACACAGCCACCTACTACCTAAGCAGATTGGAAATCGCAAAATCGCGATCACTTTGTAGATCCAAACATGCACTGGATGGTTCCCTCCGTACACCGTTTTTGTCACGTAGACTCTTTCTTGGTTTGACAAAAGAAAATAAGAAATTGCAAAATAAAATAAACAAAAACACTCCTTCACACATTCGCAAATTTGCAGAAGTACTTACAGTATCGGTCATACTATTAGCATCACCCCAATTTTAAAGTGATATTGTTTGCCACTTATTTCCAATTAAAATACAGTTCATTCTCTAAAAAAAAAACATAAATCCAAGCTTAAAACTTTGTAGAAAACTAAAAAAAATCTAAACATTTTTACCCACATTTAAAACTTGTTTCTCATAAGTGTTGGAATTTTATTTGAGCACACAGTTTTATTGAAAATTGAATGATTTTAGTGCAATAATTTGCAAGTTTCAAGTGGCTAAAAATTATTGTTGATTTTTTAGAATTTGTTTTTTGCCGAAGGTTTTGTTTTGTTGTTTCTAAAAAATCAACGGTAATTTTTAGCCACTTGAAACTTGCATATTTTTACATTAAAACTGGATGGGCTATAATACAAAAAAAAGTGTAACACGGCTGAGAAAAAAGTTTGAAATTTGGTTGAAAATTTGTTGACTTTTTTAGTTTTCGACAAAAATTTAAACTTGGGCTTATATATGTTTTGTTATTGAATGAATTGAAAAATCTCAAAAATAAATAAATAAACATAACTGACAAACAATATCACGTTGCAATTGGGTTGCTTATGATAATGGCGGATACTGTATGTACATATCGTCGTTTAAAGTACAAAACCGCGTATCCAGAAAATGCAAAATCTCTTATTTGAGGTTGCCTCTTTTATCCCGATAAATGGATAAGGGCTTTATGCCAGGAGCTTCCAGTGAGCAAATATCTTTTTTGGCAGAACCAGGATACGCGGTTTTGTACCTTAAACGACGTACATATCGTCTTGGCCTGTTGACGCCAAACACTTCGCATGCGATATTCCCATGTCATCTTCTATATCTACAATTCTATTAACACTTTTATTAATCGCAAACAATTACTCAAAATTTAAATAGAGTTTGTTGCTGTGCTAATTTGTTAGAATCAACAATCGTGTGCAGGTAGATGTGCATATGTACATATGTATGTGGAACAAGTCTGCACAGAAGTACATGTCAACCCAATAAACTTTAAGTTAGCGAGTGAAATAAAATAAAGGAGAAATTGGTCTGAACACAGTGCTATTTCCACAATTTTCGAATAAGTCAGTTTACCGATACTAATAATATACTATTTAAGTAATAAATAATAGAAAATCCACGAATCTGAATGCTGTCTACGGGTACGAAAGAATTTGTATCACTGAATTCGAGGAAAATCAAAAAAAATATGGTTACCAGATTCGAATGACACATTTCGTTGTTTCGAGATCATCTAAGGCAAAGTAAACAATCAAACTTTGAGTAATTTTTTTACCCGAGTGATTTAAAAGAAATTTAACTATTTCAAAAATTTTCAAAATTTTCGGTTTATCGCGTATAGGTTTTGAAGCATTTAATTTTAAGAACTTTTTAAGTATGTATTGCATTCAACAAACAATTACGAATAATTTGATACCTTAGCAAGAGGTGTGCTTTCAGAATAAACTAACTTTTAAAGATAAAATATTCTGTGATCTTGAGCGTAATTTTTATTCCAAAACCACCTTGATTGAAGGCACATTTGGAAAATACGCCGAAACGATCTAAATCTTTCTATAACTGCTAGTCCTTACAAAATTACATATACCTGTAAAATGCTTCAAACAAATTTTCTCTAGAAGTGTGTAAAAACCCTGATTTACTAATTTTAATGATGCTCCTTCTTGTAGTCAGAATATTTCGAGAGTGGTATCAAAGCAACTTTTTTTCGACAAATGTTCTGATAGTCGCTCTTACTTAATTGGCGTCCTCAGTTTTATCCTATTGGCTCCACTTTTCGAGATAGCGGTACTTGAAACTTTGCTTAAATTTTAACTATTTTATAAAAAAGTCCCGGAGTTTTGAAGATATTTTACTAAAATTTTGCACATAGCCGTTTTTTAATATTATCTGAACTATTCCATAAAATCATCGAAATCGGTTCACTAAAACATCTAGCTCCCATACAACTCATTGACCAGAGACGTTGTTTTGCGTTATAACTCCTCCAATTAAACAGGTTAAAATTTAGTATAGGTTCAATTTAACTTATAGCACGCATACAATTTATTATTCAGATATGAAGTTAGAGTTATAATTTTAAGGAATAATTAAGGTAATATTAAAAAACTGTTATGTGCAAAATTTTAGTAAAATAACTTCAAAACTGAGGAAGTTATTTATAAAATAGTTAAAATTTAATCAAAATTTCAAGAACCGATATCTCGAAAACCGGAGCTAATCAATCAATAATAATCAATTTATTAAGAGATTACGAATAAAATGATATATAAAACATAGGTGTGTTCACAAATTTAAAAATTAAATTTTTTTTTTGAAAGTGTACCTATTTTTTAGATATGCCCATATACATACATACGTACTTATTTATGCCATGCATTGTATCCATATCTCACTGCGTCTATCGAAAAACCATTTGTTTTTGTTCATTTTATGAGCCGACCAATCACTCCGATTAACTGTCATAGTGAGTGATTGCAATTTTTTTTTTGTATTATTAGCGCTTTGCATTTTCGTATACATAATATACAATAGATAAGTACATATCTACATGCTTACATATGTATGTACTAATGTCTGTATGTATAAAAGAAGGTTATACTTTGTGCAAATGTAGACTCAAAAATTAGATCGGCAACAAGTGGTTAATTGCCTAGCAGTGAAAGACATGTACATATGTTTGTATGTATGTAAATAAAATCAATTTGCTAAATCATGTGACGAAATGAGCGTTGCACAGTCTCAGCAGGTTGGATACAGCACAATCTAAATAATACTTTTATTATAGAACTTTATGTTTACAAATTGTATACCTCAGTTTCGGGTGGTTTATTTTTTTTTTAATTTTTATTGATTTTTAAAAGAAATAACAGGAAAAAGGTGCGGTTTATTGTGCACATGCATGCACTCATTATTCTAAGCGATTTGCAATTGCTTCACTAAGTAGATGCAATTAACAAATCGATTCGTTTTAGCGAAGCTTTTAAAATTGATTTTCCGATTTTAAAATTTGGCTGTGAAACATCGCTGGTTTCGGTACTGCTGTTTATAAGGGAAAATATCGATATACATATGTATGTACATACTACATACATATGTGCGTATATTAGTGTTGGGAAGTATCGAGTACTTCTTTGGTATCGATACTCTCAAGGATCGGGTATTTTTGAGAGTACTGGTGCACACTAATGTACATACATACATAGATAGGCACTAATTATAAACACATTTTTAGTGACACATTTTAACATTTACTCGTTACATACATTATTGCAGTTATTACTGAAATTTCATTTTAATATATTTTTAATTATACCCATTTATTTGGTAAATTTAATTTTAATTACTTAAACAATTTTTCTTTTCTTTTTGTTTTCACTTTTTTTGTAGAAAACATTTCGGTTGGTTTTTTGATAACTTGAATATAAAGCTTGGCAAAAATGCTATAGAAAATAAGCCACAACCGCCGCTGCAGCCACAAACACAGCCAAGTGCAACGAAAAAAATCGCAGAAACTAAACCAGTGGTGGCTGACCCCAAGCCAGTTAAACCAGAAGTGAAGCCTGCTGCCACCGTCGCTCCCCCATCAGTTCCGACTCCATCAAAACCGATTGAGAAACCCGCACCAGCCACACCACCTTCGACGCCCGTATCAAGCCCATCCGTAAAGCCAGCACCAAGTCCTGTTGCTTTGAAAAAAGAAGCAGTGACCGATGCATTAGATAGAAAATTGCAAGAGGTGAAGAAACCTTTCGAGAATGGAAATGAGAAACTTAAGGATAATTTGAAGGATGCCACAACTGGATTTTTACAAAAGGAGTCACAAAAACCATCAGAAAGGTAGAATTAGCATAGTTGGCAAATGCATACATAAGTGTTTATTTTCCTTCATGTAGCGCTTCGCCCATAAAATAAAATAAAGCTTTTTCGATAAGTGCCACTTTTATTTGTTCTGCAGGCTAATAAAATGTTCAGTTCAAATACTCTAGAGGCAATGATTAGCCATTTCGTTTAGAGCTTGACATTGATATACACCGGAAATTCTGACAATAACAAATTCTTAGAATTTATGTATACTCTCTCTTATTTGGTAAGAAATGCTAAATATGAGCCTAGGCATTGCGACAGCTTCACTTCCGGGAATTTTTCACTGATAAGAGACTCAAATTGAGTAATTAAGTCTCTGCCGAGAGAGTTTTGCATTGCTTGTCCTGATTAGATTATAAAAAAAGGATAGAGTCAAAGTGGGGCTTGACAACTGTTTAAATTACTGCCTTTAGAAAAAAACTTTTTTAAGAAAGCTTTAGTTTGAAAGTATTTTTTATTAGGGACTGCCAGCTATTCGAAAAGTCATATCTACATATCCATATATGTCTTTACGTACATTAGGGTGCGCCTTTTGTTCAACTTTGACCCACAAAGCAAGACTCACTCACGATAGATTCATGTGGTCACAAAAATGTGCTCTGCGAATTCCCGAAATCGGAAAATGGAAAGACGTGTTTTAAGACCCCTAAAAAGCTTTATAAACAACAACAAGTAACAATATTTTATATAAATTTTTATGAATTAGCTTATGTAAATTTAAAGTTCTTGACGCACGTGTTTCCGTTATCCGTTTGAAAAACTTTTCGCAGAGCACGTTTTTATGACCGAGTGAACTTATTTAGAGAAAGTCTTGCTTTGTAGCTTACCAAACAAATTTTCTCCATACAAATAAGGCACACACTAATGTAAAACATATATAATAGTTGAACGAATTTCTGATGAAGGTCTTCAGGACTCCATCGTTTTTTCGAATTTCAAAAATGAGATGTCAGACTAGTAGGTTCACCTCTGAATTAGATTCACAGAACATAAATTAACCGTTATCAAAATTTTAGTGGCCAAGGTACATATTTATATGCCTAGATATGTCTTTTTAAATTTGTTCCAGCTTTTTCATTGATTTTTTCCTACCTTATTAACCTTATATTTTAAAATTTGTTCATTCCGTTTGTTTGTTTAATCACGTATATTTATTTTTTCGCAACTGCCTGATACACACAGTAATCGATTTCTACGTTATGACATAGCCGTTATTGGAAAGCAATACACCTCATCTGCCATACAATAAGCAGTTAAGAATCCCACCTTGGTGAAGTGGACAAACTCATTATCTTTTATTTCTGGCATAATTAAATTTACTTAGTATACTAAATACGCCAACAATTTTTTTTTTTTGGATTGAATATTGAAAAAGTCATACGTTTGCCTGACATGTATTTTTGCCATTTCCTGTGCGAAATTACGTAAAAATTTTATGTTTATATGCCAAAAGCTGGCCACTTGTTTGTACAACAATAATTTGGCATTAAGTCAAAAATTTTAAAGCAAAATGCACGCTGCTATGCCATACACATACATATGTACATACATTTATTAATATTAATGTACTTAGATACGTATATGAACACACAGTGTGTATATTAATACAAATATACATTAGTTTGTATGTATTTAATTTCAAAAAAAAAGTGACATGAAAGACAAACATTTTCTTTTAAACTCAAATGACGTGGTAAATTTAAACAAAATCTGGGAAAACTTACATAGTATTCATCCCAATCATATAAGATACAACCTGGTAGATTGCATATGCATGCATGGATACCCGTGCATACTACATACATATGCACATTAGGGTGGTTTGTTCTATATCGAAAAATATACCCCTATTTTTTTTATTTTGAAATCAAAAAATATTTAGAGGTCGCTCAAAACTTTTGAGCGGACATGGAAGACTTAATTTTATATGGGGAAAAACAATTTTTCGAGGAAATGGAATAGAATTCTTTAAAATTAATATTTTTCGATCGGAAAACTCCAATTCTCTTCAGGCGAATTTCAATAATAATACCCAATTGTTTATTTAACCATTTTTTAACACAAAATATTTTTTTTGTTCCTCCATTGCATTTACTGGGGATTTTGGCGAACCTATAAAACATATGTAGTTACTATGAAAAAATGGTTAAATAAACAATTGGGTATTATTATTGGGAATCTCCTGAAGAGAAGCAGAGTTTTCCGATCGAAAAATATTGATTTTCTAAAATTCTACACCATTTCTACGAAAAGCTGTTTTTCCCCATATAAAATACATGGAAAACTTTGAAAAAATAGGGGTATATGTTTTCGGTATAGAAAAATCCTAGGGCGTGAGAGCATAAAAATTTCGACTTTACTTTCGCACATGCATTTTAGGACCACCCTAATAGACATACATACATACGTGCAAATAAATTTATACTTAACTATAATTCAGTTCTGCCTCTGTTAGCGGGTGAAAAATTCAAGAGGAATTTATTTAGAAATTATTTAATTTCCTAATTTTATTTCTAAACAAAAGCCACAAACACTTGGGCATTTTAAATTTAATTAGGCTGCAATGGTTTATTATCTCAAAACACGTTATATTACGTTAGCAGTGAATGTATGTACGCAAACAGTTATGTGAAAAATAACACGACACGAAATTTTGACTAGTTTTGGCTATTTTTCTTCTTTTTTTTGTTTAATGTTTATTATTTTTTTAGGAAAATACAGCTAAATATCTAACAAAAATCATATAGGTCCAAATTTCAAACAAAAAAGTTTTCAACAAAATTTTACAACAAACTTTTTACTAAGGATTTTTAAAAAAATTCTAGGTATGCAATTTTATAGCACATTAAATTCCAGTTTGGTGAAGTGTCAGTTTCAAGTGCCTCAGGATTCGCGTCGATTTGTAATATTTTTTTTTTAATTTTAAACATACTTTGTATGGAAGCGAATACGTGTAAAAACTGGTCAAAATGTCGTGTCTCTACTATTTTTCACATGACTGTATATCTACATACATATGCGCACATACATACATACGCTGTTAAATATTTAATGAATTCGTTTTGTAGAAATTAGTACGGTATTTCGGCTTTTTCGAGTCTGTTTGTGAATGTTTGCTAATAGAACCTTGGGTAATTTTCCGTCTCTGAGTTAGTTTTAATCTGTGAAAGGCATTTGGTTTTACCGAATTTTGCATTTCAAGGGCTTTTGTTTGAAGTCGTAAGTGATTAAGCGTAGAACGGATAATTTGATTTCAACCCATTCCGCTCACCAACACAAAGTTTTTCCATACTAAATCCAACCATAATAAGAGTTTATTATGAATGATGCCAAAGACTGATAGTCGAAATCATGAATTTTGGATCTAAGCGATAATCAAAGAACTCTTTTGGAACATGTAAAATTTGTATTAGATATGTTAAAAAATTTAGATTAGGTTAGGTCCTTTGTGACATAACTCCAATCAATCACTCCAATTCAATCGACGAACACCGTGAGTAATATCACAAGTTGCGAAGATGGCTATATCAATCACCAAACATTCTTCAGGATTGGTTAAAAAGTGCGAGCTAAGAAACATCATCCTCCAGGCCACTGCTGCAGTGAGGATAGAATACTCACCGCGTGAATTACAATCGAGCAGTAGTGACCTGTCAAAACCCCTACCAAAAGCGAGAGCTGTGACTTGTAATTGCTCATGTTCTAGTATTCACCTAACTTGCACTGAGCTGGCATGAGGCCGATTTGTGCAAGTCTGAACCACAGGTGTCCAATGGTGCTCACAGCCTAGTGGTATCGTTCAAGGGTATACTTGCCGCCAACTTGTCGGCACTGTCGTTTCTCGCAGAGGGATATCCGGGACGCCCCGACAAATTTTCTGCGCACCGTCAATGAGGTTAGGGTCAGGAAGCCTGACCTTGACGTTGATGGAGAGTTTATTGCAAAAGACCCACCACCAATCAAAATTCTGGCAAACTTACAATATCTCGAGAACGGAACAGGTATCGAAATAAATGTAGCGGTATTTTAAAGCTTAAGCTTCAAAAATATATGTTTTGAATTTGGAATTATTTAATAATTATTTAGTAAAAAGAAAACTGCTCTTGCGTCAAGGAGTCCATTTCCATTTTAGGATAGCTCACAGCGGTTATAATAAAAATAAATGACAATAAATTATTCATACTTAAGAAAACATGTATATTTTATAATTATAATGCAAATTTTTAACTTTTGAAACAGCAAATGAAAAAGATCTGTAAATTAAAATTATATACATACATACATACATATATGTATGAATCTGGTGTCAATAACCGTAACTGTATGTAGCCAAGCAATTAATAAAATATCACTTGCAATGCAATTAAAAAATCAATAAAAATGCATAAAGGTCAGTATCGTTCTCCGCATGTACATTAGGGGGAATTACACCCCACACAAAAAAAAAACACGGTACCGTTTTTCCGTCGTAAATACACAATTTATTGTATTCTAAGAGCCGGTTGCTCAAGGCCTGGTTGACACTAATCATCGGTTAAACATCGTTATCGACGTTACCGTGTTAAATGCATGGAGTCGAAAACGTCGATAACGATGTTAACCGATGATTAGTGTCAACCAGGCATGGAGCAACCGGCCATAAGACTTCCGCCAAAATATTTTGGCAAAATATTAAAATTTATGTGAGTTGGGCCTAATTGAAATTACCTCCAAAATCGAGTTTTTTTTTTAACAGTTAGCTTTTAAAAATACTTTTTCTAAAAACTCAATTCAGATGATAGAAGAAAATTTTATCAACGGAATCGAAATAATGAGGTTTTTGGAGATATTTTGCAAGGGTCTATCTCACATAAACCTCTATTTTTTTATTATTTTAGAGCAAGTCTCAAAATATAATAAATTTTTTAATACCTGTAGAAAAACCACAACTTTTTTTTGGTGATGCACCCTAATATGCATGTATGTATGTCATATGATATTTATGCGTATAAGCAGCTGATGAACAAAACCGGTTAATTATAAGCTAACGAAATTTAAGCTTCCAAATCTGATTAA